TCAGCAAACGAGTGAGTGTCTACAGTTTTGATGGTGCCAGACTCTTGCATCCCAGGAGTCAGCAGATCTGCCCAAAAGCCCACAGAAGGGCTGGGGACAGCCACATTGCATTGTCTAATTATCATATGTGGCTGCCTCACTCCCAGATGGGGGCCCTTCTATTATTCTCAAACTAGATTATGTCCCTCCAACTCAGTAGTCCCAAGCAGAAGCATGTTGGGTACTTAGACAGCTGGACCAACAGGTGCCCTTAAAGAACCTGGGGGAGGGCTCAGGAGTGAGCCAGCCTGAAATGAAGGATGGTTTGAGGAGGCTGCTCAGCGCTTGGAAGTGGAGGCTGGCAGGGGAGTAGATGACCTCCAGAAGTCCCTGCTGGAGGCTGGTCCTGTGGGTTTCCTGAGCTGGATGATTGCAGGCCTGGAATCCATCATTCCCTTCGTAACACAAATAATCACCAAATGTGCTCGAGCACTCAGTAGCCTGGATATTCACTCTTGCAATTCTGTGTGTGGACGGTGATTAGACCATCATTATCTTAATGCTTCTTAATTTATCTTTCTGATTAGCAACTTACCATTTTATTTGCAAAAAATAGCCTTCTGCTGGGTGGAAGCCAGCCGAGCACAGCAGCTGTCATTTTCTCTGTACTAAATCAGGCCAGGCTTAAGTTGGTTTTCTGGTGATGTTATTTCTTGTGTCTTGGTGCTCTCAGCCACCACAATCCATCATGGCTGTTGTGGAATGGAGGCACACCCCCAGCAGGCTGGGAGCAGAGAGCTCAACTCACCTCTACCCAGGGGAGGGGACTGGGATAAGACACACTCGGGAAGGACTCCCAGAGCCTGAGCCCTCCTATCGCCCATATGTGACAATCCAGGGCAGGCACTCGCTGCAGAAACTAGGAGAGAGGTCATAATGTAGGGTAGATAACGTAAGAATAGTGACCATCTAAAGACCAAAGAGTACTTGTTATGTGCTGGGCATTGTGTAAAGCTCTTGAGATGTACTGCCTCATTTAATTTTTAAAACAGCCCTAAAGGTGTGTACTATTATTATTTCCACTTACAGATCAAAAGGCCAAGGCTGGAGATGTCATACAATTTGTCTAAGATCCTGCGGCTCCTAAGTGGCAGTTAACACTTTTGTAAACTCTCAGAACCACTGATCTTGAATGCCGTGTTATGTCGCTTTCCAAAGTGGATTAGACATGGCCTGAGATGAGAGATTTTAGGGCAAACATTGTTAGAGCTACTGTGGAATAACAAGATGCTATCAGTTTCCCACCCACCAATACCTTTTTATCCTTACCAAGATATCAATCTTTTTCTGCCAGTCCCCGCCAGAATGAGGAATTAGTTCCTCTTCTTCAGATTATTACTGCAGTCTTGCCCAGGTCACGTAAAGTTTTCCTTTTCACTGATCTTTCTATCCACTAACCCTGAACAGATCACACTATTTTCTGATTCCTATTACCTCCCAGAAAATGTCTTTATTTTATTCTGTCCCTGAAACAATAGGCTACAGCCCAGGCACCCGTCCTTTGAGAGGGCGCATCGTGGCCTCTAACAGGTCTACCATTATTCCAGCTGATGTCCAAACCCTACGTTGTATTTTAACTGTTCCTGCTTCTTCCATTGAGAAGTACACCTAGATATCCGGGTGTATGAAAGAAAGAGGGAGCTTCTTTAGTTAGCCCCTGTGGTTACCAGAGAAGGTCCTGAGGTAGAGGAATACACCGAGGAAGCAGGTGGCTGCAGTGTTGTATCTTGACCCTAATCTCAGTTTCTGAGGTGACCTCCACTTAACCATTCATTTTCCTGATTAATGGATACACCTTCACCAAGCTGAGCCCATGAGACTCCATGCTGCACTGCCCAATATGGCAGCCATCAGCTACATGTGGCTATTTAAATTTAAATATAAATTCAGTTCTTCAGTTGTACTAGCTTCATCTCCAATGTTTCACTGTTGCTTGCAGCAAGTGCCTACTAAATTGACTAGTACAGATATGGAATATTTTCATCACTGTAGAAAGCTCTCCCAGACCGCAGTAGTCTGAATTCAATCTTCTAAGCCCACTTGTAACCCTTCAGAAACAAAATTGGATGCCTAAAAAGCTTGAGGGTAATGCCATTTCTCTCACTGATTATAGAGGACTGTGCTTTGCAGAGTGTGGCCCTGGCCCGGCAGCACCACCTTGTTTGAAATACAAGAGTTTAGGCCCCATCTCAGACCTCTCGAATCAGTAACCAGCAGTTTGTGCTTTAAGAAACTCTGCACCCTGGGAAGTGGGGCACACAAGTAATTTTAGTACTCAGGGAAGCTGAGGCAAGAGGATCACAAGTTTGAGCCAAGTTTGGGTGATTCAGTGAGATTCTACCTCTAAATTTTTTGTAAAATGTAAAGGCTGGGATTGTAGGACAGCGCAAACGCTTTGGGTTTGATCCTCGGTACTGAACAGGGAAAAAGAAAAGTAAGCTCTTCAGGTGATTCTGATACTTTTTATACCTGCCACAGACTGAAGCTGCTATGCATCAGTCATGGTGGGGAGCATTTCACAAATGTCACACGTGTCACCCTACTAAAACCTGGCCATAATACTGTGAGATGAGAGACCCATTCCCATTTTATAGGTCAAAAACCAAGGTCAAGGTCATACGGCTAAAAGTTAGCAGAAACAGGTTTCAAGCCCAATTTTGTCTGTCTCCAGAGCCCATACACTAACATCACTGGCCGAGAGTGGGCAGGAAGCATTTCCTTGCCAAATATCTTCTGAAGGAACTTGGGACATCTCACGTGACAAGCTCTACAGTGGCACTCAAGACCAGACAACCCATCAAGCTGCCTAGGCAATACCATTATCACAGTGAAGCAGCTCTGGCTTGTCCTGCGTGGAGAAACGAGCAGGACTTGGGTCCCTCACAGGTCTCTGCTTGTGGTATGGTGTCTACCTAGGTCCATCGAGTCTGGCCAGGTGCTCAGGGATCTTCTCTTAAGAGTGCATCTAAATTCAAAGAACTATGTTGCACTAAAAATAAAATTCTTCCCTGGATAACTGTAGATTTGCTTTTCTTAAGAGTTCAAGAAACCTCTAGTGATTGTATTAGGGGATTAGAGACAGAAATTGCTGTTTCTTCTTTAATCTCTGCAGTGGTCCCCAGGCTGGAAGGCTGGATTTCACAGGGAAGGAAACCTATGATTTGTTTTGTACAGAAGTCATGTTCCCGGCACAGTCAACAAACATTCATCGAGCAACTGTCATCCGGCCACTTTCCCTCAGGTCATTTCATTTAATCTTCAGAACAACCCTTTAAGGACTTATGATTTAAGATGATAGCTCTTATTATCCCCACCTGGTAGATAAGGAAACAGAGAGATTCAACGGTTAGTGGCCAACCAGAACTCAAATCCAGATCTACCTGTCTCCCAAGATCTCTCCCTTAAATACACCACATGAGCCTACCGAGTCTAGCACTAGAGTTAATTAAGAGATGGGACTAGAATCTGGGGCAGAATGGGAAAGAAGCTCTAGGTTTCAGCAGGTCAGTCATCAGAATGGTGTTCAAACATTTCTGAGAGCTGCTCTATGCGTGCCTGGAGTCTTATGTGGCTGAATCGCATGCATGTGTCTGAGGATTTCAACTCCTTTCCTCCTGCTATCGTTCTGGGCCAGCACTGGCCACGGCATCATACAGGCTAAGTGGGAGCCATGGCTCTAGCACAGCCTGAGTTCTGGGGGAAACTGAACCTCGTGAGACCCTGGTGGGGGATCGTAGTTGTTAGCTCTCACCCAAAAGCTTTAGATTGTCTCTAGAATGGGATTGACATCGGGATCCGGAGACCGTCCAGTGAGTACCCAGGAAGCGGGCACAGTGCTCTCTTTCCCCATCTATCCTAACACTCTGCCTCCTGGCCTGCACTTCATGCCCTCCTGGAAAGCGAGCAAGACCGAGGAAGTGAACGAGAAGGGGCCAGGCAAACTTCTCGTACAGCTGACTCAAAGATTTCAGCCACTCTGGCACCAGAGGAGCCCAACCTGGGCCACTGTGGGCTGGCCAGGAAGGTCGTGCGAGCGTGTGAGACACATAGGCCGTCTGTGGTGTCTCTGCACAGGCTCTGTACGGAGGCTGGGGAGTAGAGACATGTATTACTCCTCATGCCGCCTGTGCCACTTACAAAGAAACTGGTAGTAGGCAGCCTGCTCTCACGCAGATCTAATAAAGGCTTCCTAAGATACCCCATCTCTAAATGACGGAAAAGTTGCAGAAGGCCCAGCCCACTGCTTCTGACTAGATGGGCTCCTGCCTGTCCTCTCCTAAAGTCCAGTGGAGACGTGACATGAACTTTTTAGAGGAGCCAGGCCGCTCCTTGCCTTTGTACAGAGGGACCCTCACTACTCCCACCTTCTTCATTTCCCACTCCAGATACCCCTGGCGGTCTCCCAGATGCCCCCAGGTTAAGAGGGGTGGTTATAAGCTGAGCTTCAAGCAGCCCCAGGAGTCTGGGTGCAGGTTCAGGCTGTCACGAGGTGCATATCAAAGCCGGAGTTTAAAAACTGCATTGGGAATAGTGCAATTATCTCGCTTCACCACATTTCTCAGCCCTGACTGAGGTTTAATTAAAGCCAAGTAAAAACACAAAGTCGCCATTTCAGATATCACCCCACTGCATGCTGGTTAAAAAAAAAAAAAAAGGAAAGAAAGAAAGAAAAAAATCCTTTATCGGGGACTTAAAATTTTTTCTGTGGGTATCTTCTGGCTCAGTTGGATATTAGTCCTTCATAACAGTCTCTTTAAAGAAAAAAATATATATTTAATATATATGTATAAAATGAGTTAATCCCCCATAATCTCCTTGAGTTGTACCTAAAACACAGTTTCTTGCAGGTGACCTTTTCAGAAGAGGCTGTTGCTATGGCAACCGCATTGTTTGATTCCATCAAGAGAAAAATGCTGCATGGAAATGTATTTAATTTTGCTTAATTTGATGCTGTATTTAACACTTGCGCAGGCTGAAAGGAGAGAGGGGCTCAGAGGCAGGAGCTGGCTCGTCAGGCCACGTTTGCTGGCACCCTGAACAGCCAAAGGACCTCCTGGACATCACGACCCCCTACTGCACTGCTCCCAGTCTAGGCTGGGGGCCAGCTCTCCCTGGTTCCACCCCCAAGGTGTTCGTCAGTAAAGACAGGCAAGGCTCCACATCTGAGGGGACCTCCCAGGTCAGACACGGTGAAGCAAATAAAAAGGCCACAAAGCACTTTAGACCGTGAGTCCACAGATCTGGGGAGAGCTCTGTTTTGCTGCTCCCATGCTCTCATTTCCCCATCTGCAATGGGAAGCAACCGAATCCAAAGACCTCTCAAGCCCACCCTGCCAGTAGCTGCTGAGGCCCCAGGCACAAGCCTGATGTCATCAACTAGGTTTTACCTTCATGGAAGCGGTGCTGGGTGCAGGGTAAGTGCTCAATAAATGGTTCATTCATTTGCATCCAGGGAATCCCATGGCCCAGCCTGAGAGGCTTGGGTACATCTTTACCCACAGCCTTCACAGGCAATGCCCACAACCATGAGAGCTTAAAGCTGATAAGATAGGGCACTGGGGCCATTCATGGACTGCAGGGGGCGTGGGGGAACCAGGCCTCAACGGGAGGTGATCCTCACCTGGAAACTATATCATTTTCATTGTTTGGTTGGGTTGGTTCTCTTTTGTTTTGTTTGATTATCTTAATTCTGATGGCATGAGCAGCTATTTAAAAGACAGCAAGATACATTATGGTAGCCATTTTGGATTTACTATTGGTTTATTTTGAAGTCTTTTATTGCATTCATTGTTTTGTTTTTATTCCATTTTGTTCTGTTTGATTTTTACTATGTCTGAAGTTATCTGCAGCTATTTTGAAGACAACAAAAGGCATTATGGTAACTATTATTGATTTTGTAAGGAGTTCTGTGTCACTTATACTGGTTTATTTTGATTGGTTTTATTTTCCTTGGTTTTATCCTCTTTAAGAAAAAGATAGAGCACTCAACCTGGGTGTCAAGGGGGTAACAGGGAGAGAGAAAACAAGATTTCTAATGGTCCTTCCAAGCCAGGTACATGTTCCTGTTGGGAGCAAGCATGGGGGGACCACAGAAGAGAATAGACACAGTTAGTGCCCTCCCAGCCCAGCCAGGGGGGGCAAACTGACTTCCCCAAGATTGTTAATCCTTCTATACAGCCATAGCCCAGTAGTATACACAATCTATACATATACCTCTGTTCTGAATAAAACTTACTTGCTTCATGACCTTAGACAAGTTATCTGACCCCTCTGAGCCTCAGTTTCCTTATCTGAAAAGTCAAAGAGTTGATTGGGAGCTGCTTTTCTTTCTCTGACATTCTCCAGATATGATTCCAATCTTCCACTGTGCTGGTGAACAACCAGCCTACCTCCAGGGATGGGCCCCTCATTCCTTTAGTAACTCCAGCAGGTCACCCCACTTTCCCCCAGCCTTCAACCCAAGGCCCCACATCCCCATCATAAGCCAAGACTAGCTCATACCAATACAGTCTTCTCAGTCACAGACTGCGGCTCCTGTGGTGCTGACCCCATGGTCACTGCTCCTCACTGTCCTGAGGTGCACCCATACAGCTTATCTCTAGACTTCCTCACACCAGTGACTGAGTCATCTGTGAGTGTAGATTTCCAACTTCTGACTTTCTGGACATCACTCTCTTCCTCAGAGCTGGCTTACTCTTGCATTACCATTCCAGCAGTTCTCAAACCTCATTTCATTAGAATCACTTTTTTGTCATCCATTTCTGTCACTGTCTGCGTGTATTCCCCTCCCCCTACACAGCTCTGACTGCACAATCCAACACTTTAACTGCTCCCTTGCCAATAATGTAACCTTGCAAGTCTTCCCCTGCCCCAGCTGTGCCCAGCTCCAGCCCTGTTATCCTATCCATGTATTCAGGCCTTGGACCAGAGCAACTGAACACCAGCTGGAGAAAAATGACATGAATTTACTGACTAGATTCGGAACAAATATAACCACAAATCTCACTCAATCCTGTCAGAAAAGCCTACTACACTTCCTTAGAAAAATTCAATTTCCCAATCTCTGGGGACGCTATCATACTTCTTCCTCTCTCCTCAAGTCCCCAGCACCTTCTCTGCTAGCTCATTCCCAGCTGATGACCTTGCAGTATATTTCATAGATAAAATAGATTTCTATGAGACGAGAGCTACCTCGTCTTCCCATCAATAAGTCCTTTATTGTATCTGCCTCAGAACCAAGGCACTCTGGCCATCTCACCCCCCAGCTACAACAGACAAAGAGCCCCGGGCCCTGTCGAAGATCATCACCTTCACTGGCTCTCTACTGTTTTATTTCTTCTTGTATTATTATTATTTTCTTCCTCCTTATTGGACCCTCCCACTGGTGCACAAACAAGCCTCCATGCAGTCCGCCTTTAATAAGCCCTCTCTTGTCCCCATTTCCTGCTCCACTCTACCTCTTTCAGAGCTCTCCTTCCCAGAAAGCCTGTTCCAAGGAGCCTCGATTCTTACTTTCTCATCTTCCGTTCTTTCTGCAACCTACTCCAGCCAGGCTTCATTATCCACCACTCCACTGATGACCAGTTACCAAGATGACGAGTAGCCACATTCTGCCAAAGCAAACGGCCAACTCTCTGCCTTCGTCTTTGCTTCCCAGAAACAACTGGTACAGGCAGTCAACTGCTGCTTCTGAAGATGCTTTCTCCTCCAGCCTCTGACCCTTTACTCATCCGACTTTTTCCATCCTTCACTAGCACTCTTTGTCATTCGCCCCTGTTGGCATTTTCTAAAAATACTCTTCCCTTCTGTATGGTCCCCTCCATCTCCTGGTGTGATCTTATCTATCCTGCAGCTTTAAATACCTCCGCACACTCAGGCCTCTCAGATTGACACCTCTGACTGTTACTCTCCTCAGATCCACAGACATCTGCATTCAACTGTCTACTCAACATCTTGACTTGAGTGTCTCAGAGGCATCCTAGACTTAACATATTCAGAAGGGTTTAATTTCTCCCCTCAAATCCATACACTTGCTCCTGCCAAACCTTCCCCCACCTACGGAGAAACAGCTCTCTTCACTGGGTTGCTGAAAACCTGCAATCAGTCTTGGTTCCTTCCTCTTCTTCAGCTGCATCCTGAAGGACTGTGACCCTTCAGCCGCTTCTCCTGCTTCCATTCCCATAGTGCATGGAATCCAATGATACTGCTCGATCTTCACTGCCATGGTCAGGGCCAACCCAAGAGAGCCTCTTGTTGGGTTTCCTAGACTCACACAGCAGCCAGAGTGGTTTCAAAAGCACAGGGAGCTCTCCCCAGTTTCTCCTGAATAGCCCTCCAGTGGCGTCCCACTGCAAGTCAGGTAAGAACCAGCCTCCTACAGGTGCCCCCCCCCCCGGCTGTCCCAGAGGCCTTCCCCTCCTCCCAGCCTCGGTCCTCTTCATCCTGCCTTTTGCCTACTGCGTCCCAGATACACTCTGGGCCTCCTCCAGAGACTCTGCTCTTGCTTTCCTTCTATGCACACACGGCTGCCACCTTCTTATCTGCCAGTGTCAGTCCCGACATCTCATCCTCCAACAGCCTCCCCGGCATCAGGCCCAGGCACTCCCCCAGAGCCCCTATTTTGTCTCCTTCACCACATAGAGCAAGAACCAACATTTTCTTATTTCTATATTTGCTTCCTTGTTTGTTCATGCTCTCTCATCTCTACCTAGAATACGAAACCTCTGATGCCAGGGACTTCATCTTGTTTATCTCTGTAACCTGCCCCTGCCTTGCACACAGTAGGTACTCAGTGTTTGTTGACTGCATCTTCTTAACACCCCTGCTCTGACCTTTCACCTGAAGCTAGATTTTCCACTTATGCTAACCTCCTTGCCAAGTGGTCAATTCAGTCTTCCACGGGCCTAGCATATTTGATGAGGAGCCTCACAACTAACAAAGTAGACGAGGACTGTGACCCAGAGTCCTGACCAAGGCCAGATCCAGGCCCAGCCCTGGGTCAAGCACCCCTGGCTGCACACCCCTCTGTGCATCCGCACTGTGCCCTTGTTTGCACATCCCTGCCCACCTTCTAGCACCATGAGTGCTGCACAGCTCACGTGCCTTCTGGTTTATTAAAGTATTGAAGACAAACAAGCCAAAGGCCATGGTTTTCTGTTCCATATAAAGCAGCAGCGCTTCAGCACACAGGGCTCAGCGCCACTGAGGGACTGAGCCCCACTGCACGTCCTCACCCCGTGCTCCAGTCAGGGAACTGACGCGCTCTGCTGAGGGTGGTAGGATGCTACAGTTCTGTCTACTGCTGTTAAAGATCTAGGATTCTTCTCCCTAGGATGGCAGATTATAGACATCTGTGCCTGCAGCAGTGATGGATGTGGATCCTGCCTCACGCAGATCTAGGTAAAACCTGAGTCACTTGACTATGGGCAGTTATCTGAGCTTTTGGAGGTGCATCCTAGTGTCAGGACGATAATAACCCTTGGATTGGTATAAAAGTAAAGGAGATAATAAAGCACAGAATGAACACAAAAGAAACTGTCACTATCATAAACAGAGACTCTAAGCCACCTTCATCAAGTTAGAAGGAAACAGCTCTTCATTTGGTCCCACCCTGGTATAACTCAAAATAGTCCAGAAGGTATTTTCTGCTGGTTCCTAGTCACCTACGTGAGCAATGCACATCTCAGTCCATGTGACATACGAGTCTCAGGGAATAGGCTTCCAAAGGGTTTCAGCCCAGCCCAGCAAGCTAACACCTGCTCAAGTCTTTGTCGGTGAAGGTAAAATAAAACCCCCAGCACATGACAACTGAAGGGATCCTCTTCAAGTCAAACGGTCCAGTCTTCTCATTTTAATAAGAAAACTGTGGCCCACAAAAGTAGTCATAGCCAAGCTCACATTGTGACAATTATGTGCTAATTTGTAGGAAGGTTCATATGCATATTCCCTTATTACAAAATTCCCTTCCACTGTAGGAAAATACCACACTGAGGCATTTTTCTATCAAAGTCTCTTCAGCCATACCAAAGTTGAAATGTTTTCCTCACCCCTGGGGCGCCAGGTGGCGGGTGGCACAGTGAGGTCTCCAGTAGAAGAACAATAAAAGCTACATCCTGCCCTCACCTACCGCCCCGGGGCCCCTCCTACCCACAATCCTCCTTTTGCTGTCTCCTCCCTACTGTTCTGCCTGCCTGCCTTTTTAGCTGTTTGCTCAGAAACTGGGCTCTGTTTGCCGAGCTTTTATTCATTTTCATATTACCTGGATTTTTCAACTGTTCTCCTGGGTTTTTGGGAAAATTTCAAGTGGTTAGACGCACGCTGGGCTGCAAAGATAAACATCCACCCATGACCCTCTGAACCTCACCTAGGGAATTTGTTCACTTAATTAGCTGCCCTCCTGACCTGCGGGCCACTCCTCCTGGCTGGCCTGTCTCTCGCTTGAGCCCCTGGGGAGCTGGGTGTGCTTTTAGGCAGGTTTTCTCAGACCCAAGAAGGAAATAGCAGGATGGCTTGTCTAAGCTTTTGAGCAATGGACAATGACATTTGAAACCTTTGTGTCTGCCTCTAGTCCAGAATGTCCTCGTTGCACTGCAGTCCAACCAGAGAGAGCACAGCTAAATGGTGCTCCCATCTCCCCTCAAAACAAGGACATCAAGGCAAGTGGCGTAACCAGCTCCCATATACCTGTGAAACAGACTCCATAAAGTATTAATTCTTTGCTGGTTTTTTGCTGTACATACTCGGCTCCATGCTGCAGGCACTGGGGATAACAAAGAAAGCGTGACCCCCTAAAGATGGTACGTCTCCGTGATCTCTCTACTTGACATGACCAAAGCCCAGAGCGTATCTCTTTAATGCTCCTTCCAGGTCTAGGAGAGAGCAAGGCTTGAGTCCCTCTAAATATGGTGGATAAAAGGCTGGGGGAAATAAAGTACAAGATATAAAATCAACATCTGAGCTTGAGTCTTGGTTGTCCCCTACATTAGTCATGTGACCTTGATAATCACTTAAACTTTCTATTTAAATGGGTATCAGTCACCTCAACTGCCAAACAGGGAATCATTTCAGGGGCGATGTGAGCATTCCCTGTGATGATACACGTGCAAGTGCTTGGAAACTGATAAAATGCTTCTGGAATGACAGTTATCTTTATTTACCCAGGGTCAGACATTCTGTCAGTGGATTGATCACCTAAGGATCCAGGATCAGTCACATCAAGAAAGACTCAAAGGTCCGCACACTCCACCGCTCTTGGAAGCCAGGAGGCACCACCATGACCAGCACTCTTCTTTTGAAATATTCTTCCCTCCAAGCCTCCATGCAATTTGTATCAAATGTTCTAGTAGAGTAGGCAAGAGACCTGGGTTATTGGATATTTGTCAAATTCAATAAAAGCCATGGAGTAGCTCTAGGCTCCTTGTTTTCTCTGGTTCATCACTGTAGCACTTATTGGCCATGGCCTTGCCACTGCAGGCACTGGACATTAGGAAAACAAGAGCAAGTTTTATTAACTGACCGAGGGATCCAGCGGTGCCTCTGTCACGGAGTGGGCAGAAGCGCTTTGTCCATTAGAAGGTCAGGCCCCTCCACGGCTCCACCTGCAGTCCTGTGCTTTCTGGGTCAGAGCCAGGAAAAGGCTCTGGCCTACGAGCTGGGGTGAGGCCGACAGAGGACTTGTGGCACTTTCTTGTTGTTGTTTCCTTGAAAAAGTTGTCAATGTGTTGCTACCCTTCCCTTAACTCTGCTATTTTACAACAGGATGCACGCTGAAGGACTAAGTCAAACTGAAACCAGAGCTTCTAGAGTGCAGGTACTGAGTCTTCTTTGACACCCAAGTTCCCAGCAGAGTGTTCAGAGGTACCATGTCTGCATGGTCAGTGGTCAGCGCTGAGTGAATGATTGAAGGCTACAGAGCAGCAGAGAACTGAACACATGCCCTTTGGGTTGAAGATAGGCTGGGGCTGGGAAGCAAATACGGGAGAAGGTCTATTTAAAAAGGAGGAACACAGAACACTGTCCTCAGGCAGCATCCATCTCTGGAGAAGTCCGGAGAAAGGCTCTGAGTATCTGACTGGAATAACTGTACAAGGGCGAACTGGGTGTTGTAAGGACAAATGGCCAAGTTGTACTTGTAGGAAGGTTTGAGGATTCACCTACAATTGTTTTATCCCTTCTAATTGTGACCATTAATGCTGATAGGTCAATTTTGTTGGATTAAGAAATACCTAGCATATTAGTAAAGCACATTCCTGGTGTGTCTGGGTGGGTCACGGAGATGTGACCTTAGTCCTATACAGTCCTATACATGGTCCCTTGTTCATTCTCTGGTGCTACTCCACCACTATGCTTCCCAGCCACCATGAACTGAGAAGCTTTGCTTTGCTACACAGGCTTCTGCCATGATATTTCTGCCTTGAAGCCATGAACCATGGACTGAATCCCCTGAACTATGATCCAAATTGCAATTCTCCTTTAAGTGGTCAGTGTTGAGTTTTGTGTCCCAGTGACAGGAAAGCTGATTAACACTCTAACAAAGGAGTCTACAATGGACACTAGATCCCAGGTGAGCCCCAGTCCTATGGCTCTCCCTGTAAACAGGTAAGGGTGGTAAGGCCAGGTAACTAAAGAGTTATTCAGACTTTCTTGTTCTGAATCCCTAGACAAGTTCAGCCCCCTGAATGATACAGAAATCAAATTACAGGGGTTAACCCTGCAGAAGCTTCTGTTCTGCCATTCCCAAGGCAGCCAATGTTCAGCCTCATTGGTCCCAGACAAACAACAGCCCCTTGGTACACCTGCAAGTCTCTCCCATCAGACATCAGTCTACTAAATTAGCGTGATCTAGGAGCACAAAGTGAGAAAGGGGGCAGGGTGTCAGTCAGGACTTCCACACTTCTTCCTGCCATCCTATTTCAGGAGATGCAAAACGCGGAAAGTATGGATGCCTCTCTGGAAAGGTGGGCTGGGAGCTGGGTGGTATTTGTTTTAATTTTCTCCTCAGTTAAGTTACAAGCTGAGGAGGGCACACTGACCTTCCATGGTGGCAGACTGCTAACTGAAAAAATGACAGTTTTTGCTTTCCTAGGGCAGTAGTTGCCCTCTCATTCTCCACGCCATGAAAGAATTGACAAGAGTCTGGCCCACGAACAAATGAACACACAGAGTAATGCCAGGCATGGGCACAGTAACGGAAGATATTCAACGGAAGAAAAGGTTAACAAATGCCACATTGAAACTGTCAAGAAAGTGTCCGAGGCTTTAGCTCCAAAGTCTAGGTTATGGAGGGATATCTAGGATGGGCAGGCTCCCCAAAGAGCTCCTCCCTAACTGAAGAGGGGGATCATCGGGAGTGGAGGGGAGAAGAATGCTGACACATCACTTTGCTTTCAAGACGCCTCCCAGAAGAGTGTGGGAAGCGGTAGCTGCAGTGTGGCTGCAAGGACATGCTAAGCTCATGAGGATCTCGGGGATCCATAAGGCCAGGAACACCCAGTTACTAGACACTCGCCTAGAGTCTTTAAAACCTGGGAGTGGAGATGCTCATAGATTCCTTAAGCTACCCAGAAAGGGAATGAGCAGAGGCAGTGGCAGAATATTCAGAGGCTGGAAATGTTCATCTCCATCCTTTCCTTTAGCGCCGCGTCTCCAGTACCCACTTAAATGCATCATATGTACAAAAAATTAAATAAATATTTGCTGAAGGACACATCCATGAAACCTAACCTATAGGAACCTATTTATTACCACACCCCAAGCCAGGCTTTTGTGAGAACTCAACCAGAACTCCAACAACAATGACTACCATTGCCACCTCCATGAAGATGTAACAAGTGCCTGGCATCTGGAAGTCCTAGCGGTCTTTTGAATGAATGCCACCAAATGCAGTTGAAGGGACCTAGACCAGCCCTACTCCCATTCTACTGAAGAGAGAAGTGAGTTTTCCCATCTTGTTTCCAGACTCACTTCCAGCCCCATGCTGACAGCAGATACCATCTGCTGTCATCAACCAAATGCACACAAATGACAAACGGCCAAGGGGGCTTCAATGTGGGAGCCTCTCTCGCACCTCTCCAAGTGTTAGACTGGCAGTCGGACTGGATCCCCCAGCCCTGGCATCAATTGTAGCCTGTGTGCTAACATTGGAATTAAATGACATGCCAAATTAAAGTTATTTTTTCTAATAAATATTTTGCATAGGATGTGTTTATAATGGCATTAATTATTTATGCTGGCATATACAGAAAGCATAAATAGAGAGAAACAGAGAGAGAGAGAGAGACAGAGAGAGAGGGTGGGGATCAGACGGTTCCTGTAGGAGAAACAAAATGAAAATTTCCATCAGGATGATGAATACCTGCATTCTAACTTTGAGGCTGGGCTGGGGGGAGGCAGAGAGACAGGGACGTCTTGATAACAAATCTGACAAGCGTTATGGAAGCTTTTGAGGGAGGAATATGTTAAAAATGAAAGTACGTACAGAAAGTTTAAATATTTAATACCTGCATTAATTCTAATTCACACTTTCTTTATTTTTCAGATTAAAAATTTACGAGAATTCCCATCTCTTTCATCCTTCTCCTCCCGTAGGGCACTTGGCGGTCACTGGGCCAGGAACCACCTCAGGCAGCATCTGCGTCATAGGCCCAAGAGCAGCAGCCGGCCCCTCCCCCACCCCAGTGGCACCTTCTCCAAAACTGGCACTTTCCCCACTCCCCTCTCAAAGCCACGTTGTTGCTTTTCTGGCGCCAGAATGACTGCTGGGCCCAGAGCCCACTTCCTGGCCTCTTCAGCCCAACCCAAGGCAGGCCATGGAGATCTCAGAGATGACACAGCCAAGTTGCAGGTTTAAACTGCTTGTCCAAGCCAGGCATGGTGGTTCTGCCTGTTTCTCCAAGTACTCTGGGAAGCAGAGGCAGGAGGATTGCAAGTTCAAGTCCAGCCTGGGCAATTTAGTGAGACTCTGCCTCAAAATTTAAAAAAAAGAGTTGAGGATATGGGTCAGGGTAAAATATTGTGCTCAATCCCCAAGAAACAGAAAAAGAAACAAAACACAAAACAGAAAAAACGTAGCTGGTCAAGTCCAGAGCTCATGGTTACAGGCAGAATACACACTGAACAGAGGTCTCCTCAAACCAAGAGGTTTCCATAGCAACAGCCCCAGGCCACTCTGCCCTCCTGGAGCTTTTATTCTAAAGCCACCAAATCAGCTTTATGGACTTTCAATAATGTCATCCAGTGCCAGCTCCCAGCTTTGGCCCCTGTCCCCACTCCAGCATTAAGCAGATAAGCAAACTGCCATGTACTAGCAACAAACGTACATCTGCGTTTCTTTACAACCCATTTTCCACACCACACTGGGCTCTAGAGTCCTGTGAAATGGTCAAGGAACTGTTGAGAGGCCTCATTTTCCATGCAAGAAAACCCAGGTCATGTGACTCACCTGCGGCCTTCCTATTTCAAATTAGAATTCTTTTCACTGTCATAATGCGGTTCCTACAGCATCTGATTCCCAAAACACTGGGCACAAGAGGAGAAGGGGAACCAGGCTCAGAGATGCCCCCTGACTTCCAGTGGCATCAGTGTGGGTCCACAGTGTTGGAGCCACAGTGGCCCACTGTGTCCTTGCTCCTTTCTTCCTTTTGAGATCCTCCGTGACCCTCAGGCTGAACTCCCTCTGAGGGGCACTGTTCACACAGTGGTTTCCAAGATCTAACATCTCTCCAAGGCCCAGGGCTCCAAGGTGTCAGACACCAGTGTGGCCTTCTCCTTTTCCTCTCTCTCAGGGCACCTCCTTAAATCACTTACTGCACATTCCTGCACAAAACACCTTCATAAATAGTGCTGATTAGGTCCTTGTTCTAATCAGACCCCTGATCACAGGCAGCTCCCAGCCCCAGCCCACTCCTCCTGCAGAGTGCTGATATCCACAAAGTGACTATAAATCAGGAGAGAGAGAGAGAGAGACAGACAGAGAGAGAGAGACAGACAGAGACAGAGACAGAGACAGAGACAGACAGAGACATGAGAGAGAGGTTCCCTCTGACAGAACACTGGGCAGGAAATCTCGCTGATGGTGGGAATCTGAACTGCTCTGGTGCTGGGAGATGTTTAGTACTGTTTGTTGTCTTTACTCCCAGATGCGTGCTAGAGTCAGGTTTTCCCTCTCCATATGATGAGCAGAGCCAGGCAGCTTCCCAGCTCCGTGTCTGGAGAGCAGAAGGCCCCTAAGAAGCACCTTCTCTCACTCACACAATTCAGTCAGCCTCCTGCGAAAAGGGCAGGGAAGAGGGCCCAGTCAGGCAGAGAGCACACCTGGAGGAGCTCAGAAGGACCAGCTTAGGTGATCATTGCTCTCCTGCCAAGCCACCAGGACAAGCACATCCTTCTTGACCCTTCCATTTGCTCCCAACAAGAGTGCTCTCCAGAGACAGGAGCTAGATCCGCATGGGTGCTGAAGCATGCATCTATCACGTCGTGACACGTCTAGCAGCTAGCTGTTCAAGCTTCACCAAACAAGTCTACTTGGCCTTCACAGCCTCACTAGCTGTGACATTTCAGATAATGGAGGGAGCAGAGGAGGCAGTGGAAGAAGAGAAGGTGATTTAGATAAATGGAGGCCCTCATCCTGGTCTGTGCTGCAGCTGGTGACAGGGAGGACAGACCCCCTGCTGACATCTTGCAGGGATAAAAACTTGCAGGGCTGTAAATGGCCCCTCTCTCACCTACACAAAAAGTCAAAAGGGAGGCAGGATGCTGCAAAGGATGCTCCCAAGAGCCTAGCACAGTGCAGAGCACCTCAAAGACATTCTCCAATGTTGTCTCCCTTTCCCTCCATTCTTTCCTTACTTCTCTGTGCTCAGTAAAACCTAGGTCAGAGGTAGGAAGAAAACAGTTCATCCTGTCCCAAAGCCCAGACCTCTCATGCAAACTGCTTTTGCTGTGCAGGGAAAGAGGCTGAGGGAGGTGGTGAGGGCAGAGTCCAGGGCCTGAGTGATCAGGAAGGAGCACGTACAATGTTTCCCAGAATGCGTGTGCCAATCCCCAAGCTCACAGACAATGCCATGAGAAGTCTCCCAGCACAATGTCACTTTCTGCAGCTTCCGTTAACCGACTGCTTTGGTCTTAAAATATTACACGGAAAATTCCAGAAATAATTTATAAATTTTAAATTACATCCTATTCCAAGTTGCATGACAAAGTTTCATGTTGCATCACTCTATCCTAACCAGGTCATTCATTGTCCTTTTGTCTAGGGTATCCATGCTATATGTGCTACCTGCCCGTCAGGCACTTAGTAGCTATCTCGGTTTTTATATCAACTACTGCAGTGTCATAGTGCTTATGTTCAAGTAATCCTTATTTCACTTAATATTAGTTCCAAAGTGCAAGAGTAGTGATGTTGGTAGTTTCATTACAGTATATTGTTACAACTGCCCCATTTTATTATTGTTGCTATTAATCTCTCGATCTGCTTAATTTATAAATTATACCATCATAGGTATTTACAAACTGGAGAAAACATAGTGAATACGGGGCTTGGTACTATGCATAGTTTCAGACATCTATTAGGGGTCTTGCAATGCTTTCCCCTAGTGTGGGGAGGGGACTACTACAAGGAGAAAATGTTCTTCCTTGCTAGGAAAGGAGCTCTTTGCAAACTAAAATGGGATTGTTTAAATTCATACACCTACTACTATTTTTAAAAATCTATTTTAAAAGAATAATACCTCCTTCCCACCTCCACACCCCACAGCACTCCTCCAAAAAAGCAGGTCCATCTTGTAACTCTCCCTCCAACTATTTTACTTGCTTGGGGAGACTGAAAGATTCAAGAATAAAGGAAGTAAGAACTCACTAAGTGCTAAAAGATAATAAGACAAATATCCACCTTCGAGGCATCTTCCTGGAAATGAGGTAAAGGGGAAGCAAAGGGACTGATTTTGGACGAGCGGCTTAACTTTCTGCCTCCTGAAACGCGCAGTCTTACCTCATGGAGAGCTTAGTTCTCTTCCACACACCCTCAGGGAGCTCCTCGTACACCCCAGCCACTGTCACACACATCTTACCACTCAGTTCAGACAAGAACCCTGGGAAAAAGGAACCGCTCTTCCCTTCAGAGAGATGAGCAAATGACAAGACAGAGGATGACACAATACCCCAAGGTCAGAGACCAGGCACCCACGGGGCTGGCTGCAGTGTGTCCCAGCTGATACTCACGCGTCCACCATAGCACAGGGATCAGGGAGGGATGAGACCGTTCCAAGTTTAAGGGCTGGAGAGTGTGGGGGGCTATTCTGCTGGCAGCATGTATTATGCTTCCCATGCAGGGTTCTCTGAGTAGACACTTCTCAGCCAGAACAAGTTCTCTCCTAGCTTTGCCCCATCGTAGAAGGAAAAAAACCTCAGGTGGTTCATAAACCTACAGGGATAGTTGGGGTGAGGAGTGGGGCTCTGAGGAACATGGACAGGGCAGAGAAGGGCCTTGGAATGTTTTGCAGAAGCCGGTGTTTGCCAAGGGTGGGTTTATTGCTAGGATTTGAAGTAAAGATGCCACAGTTACCTATGCTGAGGAAGCCAAAGTCAGTGAAACTGATTTTTCTTTAGTGCTGTACTTCTTAAAGTGTTGGAGATTGTATAAGTCCTATATTCGTTCAAGCACGCGGTTCTACAACTGTTCCCAAGCTCTCTTGACACTGTAGCCTTTTCTTTACCCAAAGGGCGCCTTCCTGCTTCAGAGCTGGGTTAGAAAGTGCTAATCTAGAGCAGCCCTGCCATCTCATAGGTGGGGCCGGGTGGGGAGTGGGGTGGGGGTGGGGGGGAAGGCAGCTTCTAAAACTGATCACCTTCTTGAGCTGGGCGTGTCCCTGGGGGACTGAGAATAATCTACACCTGTTTCCAGGGCTTAGAGAAATTGCGTCTGGCTGCAGCTGTGGTGCATGGGAGCAAAGACATCTGTCCCCTCATTTTAAGGGGTGAGGATGGTAAATTTGGTAAGGGAGTGTAGAAGGAAGAGCAAAGGCCCTTAAAGTGAGGAATCACTTAAGAGAATAGAAGATGAAGGCCGCTGGGCAGCCCCCCCCCAAAGGAACCTCTGGTCCTCCCACGGTTTAGCAGGGACCACCCAGGTGGCTTCTCAGGAAGCTGAGTCTACCTTCTTCCCTGCAGTTACTAGACATCCTCAGAGATAGTGTCTCTTACTTCAGTTTCTGCCTGTGCTAATAAGTCCTTTCCTCAGCATCCAAAGCTGCATTCCAAAGGACCAGGGAAGGAGCTCTGACCCCAGCCGCAGCTTCCAGCAGGCCCACAGTGCGTGCCCGTAAGTGGGAACTGCTCCTGTGATGCCCCTCATTCCCTGTCATCCATTTTCCACTGGACACCTGCTTCATGTAGAACATGGACCAAAGTCCTTTGTAGCTGCCAGAATGAATCTTTACCTCTTTCCCCAACAGTATCAACCTACTGAGATCAGGGAGCTTACTACAGTGGTGACCCTTTCCCATCTCTAAAAATAGGGAGACAGCTAATTGGTACCCCCATCCCCAGCGTCCTTGTATGTCACTAGAGATGGGGCCATTCAGATGGTGCTGGAAAGATGCAGAGGCGGGAGCCAGGGGAAGCCCCTCTGCCCCTCCTACACCATTCTGGGACTTTCTCCCCCCCACCTCCTAGCCCAGCCAAGCAGCTGTTGTCCAGATCCAGACAGAGACCAGCAACCAGGCAGAGCTGGGCGGTCTGTGGATGGGTGTGTGTGTGTGTGTGTGTGTGTGTGTGTGTGTGTGCGCGCGCGCGCGCGCGCATAGAGCACGGGCAAGGGGCAACCTGACCGGAAGACAGAGTATGCAGTATTGTCCTCTGAAGCAGCTCTCCTCCCGCCAGCCGAGACAAGACGGAGATAGCCACCTTCTGTGGGGCCCGGTCCACCCTGGGCGCCCTCTCCCCCGCCCGAGCTGCTCCTCAGCCACATGCCCTTGGGCTGAGCTAAGTCCAGAACCCGGCTGAGTAGGGGAATTGTTCTGAGAAAGTGGCCCGTTGGCTGGTTGCTATGGAAACCGACATACCACAGCGCTGACCCCGGAGAGGTTTAGCACGCTCCCCCAGCAGGGATGCCAGCAGCTGGACTGCAGCTGTTACAGCCTAAGTGGGGGCCGCCGCCGCCGCCAGCGGTCCCGCTGTTTGCCTAAACCAGGCCGGCAGCAGAGCGGCTCCGTGCTCCTGCCCCGCGCCGCACCGCACCCCTCCTCCCCGGGAGGGGAGCAGCGCCCCAGCCCTGGAGGGTGGGGGTGGGGCGCAGGGCGGCCTCGACTTTCGGGGAGGACAGGAAATCTCCTTCAAGAAGCGTGGCTCATCCTTGACGGGCATGGGACGTCCTTTGCATTTTATGTCTGGGGAAACTGAGGCGCAGGGAAGAGGAGGAACTGGTGCCTTCCCCGTAACGCGCTACTTGCCACCCTGCCGCCAGCCCCGCGCGGCCCACCCCGGACACCACCGAGAGAGTACTGCGCACCGATGGATGAATGAAAGAAGCACCCCAAACGGATGGCAGAACTAGAAAGAGGAACACCGAGAAGAGGAGAGGGAGCGTGAGTTGGGCGCCCCCCCACCCCACCCCAGCAGAGCAGGACAAGACCAGAGGCAGGGAGAGGAGCGAGCTGAGCAAAGGGGAGGGAATGGTCAGGACCCCACCCCACCCCATCCACATCCACACCCTGGGTTGCAACAAGGGGAAGGCTGGGAGATGGCAGAGGTGGATGGCAGGGGAAGGGGCACTGACACCCCATCTGCCTCGGGGGCCTGCTGGCCTCTCCACCACAGAGCAAAGCTTAGACTCAGACCTGGCTAATCTGCTAGGGACCTAAACAAACACCTCCTCAGCCAGAGAGGTGAGATAACTCTCCCTCCCTGGGAGGCCCATCAGCCAGCCATCCTCCCTAGCTGAGGCCAGAACACAGCCTCCTTTCATTCCTCCTGCTGTCCATCAGCCTCAGTGGCACCCTAGGTCTGTTCTCACTCCCAACATCGCCAATCCAGTCATCACACTGGTGGCCCCCTAAATGGAGGGGAGATGCCACCAGAAAGTCACCCCAGGTCTTTTCCAGCTCCCCACTCTAACCCTCACCTCTCCTCCAATCTTTCTCTAGAACCCAGTCTAACAAACATCAAAGGCCCTTCTGAGCTAGTGGCCCCCTTCCCTCCAGAAGACAGCCCTCTGGCTTCTCAGGATGAATTAACTGCCTTCTAAGGCTCTCCTCACCTAGCCACCCTAAACCAGTTGGTGGCAGGCGACTTGAGAGCTGCTGTGTGTCTCCTGCTGTCCTTAGCAGGGAGGAAGTTGTACTCCTTGGTTCCAGGGACACAGGGTCTCAGGGATCAGCTCGGGAATGTACACTCCCTAGCTGATGACCTGGCTCTGCAGTGGGCAGGAAGATTGCTTTCGTGTTTACGTCACCTTCTTTACTTTTTAATCAAACGTCAACATCACAGGCGTATTCTGCTCTTCAGATCCAACAAGGACAGCTTCAGAGCCAATGCTCTCCTCGTCTGGCCACCTTTCTGTCTTCTGAAAAAGACCACCCTGTCAGTTGTGGGCATCTGCCTCCATTTGAGATGGAGATGAGGTATCGAGAGGATTGCAGGTGCCCTGACGTCTGGCCGGTGAGGTTATGGAAGGCATTTGTTGAGCAAATGACACCCAACCCCATCTGCAGGCCCTGTGAGTCTGGTGGCGGTGAGGGCACATGTGGAAGAAGCCCTGGACAAGTATCCCTGGTCAGAAGTAGTTTCCAGTCTTGAAGGACTCAGCAGCTGAGTGCTCTGAGGTTAATCAGATTACAGTCAGACACCGCCCTGTCCCAGAGAAGAGATGCTTTGCCCACATCTCAAGGCACAGTCGAGCACCCACTGAGTGGCGATGGTCTTTAAGCAAAGTGAAGAGGTGATGGTGAAATTAGACCTGCAAGACCATTCCAAGGGCAAACTCCAGACAGAGCTTTCCTTCCGTTGCCTCCTCCTTGCAAAAACAGATCCATGAATAGCCAACTCTGGGAAGCAGCAGCATCCCATCCTGACAGCAGCCGTCACTGTGCCCTTCAGGAAAAGCTTGGAGATGAACCCAAGACAAAAACTGGGCCAAGGCCACAGAGCAAATCACCCTGAGACACGGTTGCATCCCACCAGATGACAGTGACACCCCTTCCCCAGTCACTGTCTCACTGAAGTCCCAACCACTTCCTGGGCCACCCTGCAGCACAGATGACAATTCTTATTCCCATGTGACAAGGAGGAAAAGTGTCCTTTGCGTGTGGCCTGAGTACACACCTGAGGTCACAACAATAAAAAGTAGTGAAGTCTGTGGGTCAGCACCCATCCTCTTCAGGACAAGCCTCTTGGTAAATTTTCTCTGTCCTCAGAGACTCTAGTACACATGCAAACATTTCTTGTACAGCAGCAAGACAAAAAGTTGTCCTGAAGTCTGCAGCAAGATTTGTTCAGCCATGTCTGGGTGTAGAGGGGAAGCAGAGGGGGAGAGGACGTAGCCAGAGCCTAGTGAGTCATGGGTTATGGGGAAAGGGATCACCCTCAAGTGTGCTGTCACTCTGCAAAGAATGTAGCACAAGCGACTAGGCTACTTTTCCGTTGACAGTGACTTCTAAAACATCCCCAGGATTCTTAAGCTAAGGGAGCAGCAGGTACCTTTCTAAGTAAAAAATAAAGAGGGAGGTGGTAATGGGAGAGGGGTGACTGGGTGGGACGGTGGACAGACAACAGGCTGCGTGCTGAGGAGCAGTGGGGTCAGTACATGAGTGACAAGACACAGCACTCCCAGCCAGGTTTCCCAGAGCACAGGCTGTGGGCAGCGCCAGCATTCTGAGGGGGCAGATGTGAAGGGCAGAGGATGAAGTTGGATCCCACAGGGCCAGGCTGTGTGTTCAGGAGCAGGAAACAAGAAAGGCCTGGTCAGTTCAGATACCCGGAGTGCTGATGTGCCAGGCAGGAGGGCCGGGGCCCACAGAGGGACCTGTGGAACCCAAAGGAAAGAACCCAAACGCTTGGCTTACTGGGAGTAATTTTAGAATGAGAGCTGCAGACTAGAAAGAAAAAGATTATGTGTATTACAAAACATTTAAAAATGGGCTGGCTGAAAATTAAGGCCAATTACAAGTATCCTTACAACACTGTAGGTGACCCAAAATGTTTACTGAATGAAGAAGGCTCTTCTCATTTTAGAGATAAGAGAAACTAAGAGATCTGTAGCTTTTACACGTAATGATATGCTATGTCTCCAAGATAGCAACAAACCTCCCAAAGCCTACGGGAGAAAACCACTCTGTCTTGATGAACTGCTTTTCAGTGTTGAGTTTGAAAATGGTGCTCCACATGTGACAGCTCCGTGTGCACCAGGGCAAAATCTGGTTCTGTTGGATCTGTCTGCACTGAGATCCTACTGTATGCCCGACACTGCACAGAAACACTTCCTTCCTCTTCCACTGCAGACCACAGCGAAGTAGGGTTTGCTGCCTTCGAGGATCCTGTTGCTGATGCTGCTGTTGCAGCCAAGGCTGAAGACACAGCAGGAGATCTGCTGGCTCCTTGCATCCCCTGGGGTCCTGAGCACCTCCTGGCTTGGTTACAGAGGACCTGGATGACCTGTTCTGCCCGTCTTCCCATCCCTGGCAACCTGGTGGCAGAAGGGGGGGTGTGGTGCCTGCCACAGTGCCTGTCTCCCTTGCCATTTCTTCTGCAGCTCCCTCACTGGCCCTGTTTTTCAGACCTCTAGTAATAAAAACAAGCCAATAAAATGAACATGAAAATATATTCATTAGGATTTATAATGCTCATTAAAACTGCCTGTGTACGAAAGCATGACTTAGCTTCATATAAGTGGGGAAAAAATGCAAATTATACTGCATGCAAAGAAGATATTTCCCTAATCGTCCAATCAAATGCCAGCCCAATTATCTGTGGCCAACCCAATGGGTTAAAATTATACTCTTTTTCCTTGGACACAGTGAGGCGCCTGAAAGTGTTTCATTTTAATAAAAATGAAATCTGGACCCTGCAGAAAACCAGCTTCACTAATGACGTGTTTACACAGAGAAAGACAATTTCTAGTTAATGGTGATTACTACCGAGAACAAATTAAACTTCCTGGAGTATATGGGTTAGAGATAATGGGAAAAGGGGGGAAAAAGTTATGGTTTTAGTGTGTGCACGGCGGCATGGGGTACAGGATGACACAGAGAGAGTGAAGCTGGGGAAGTCCGGGAGGAAGTTGTGGCCGGAGACGTGCTGGGATGGGAGCAGCTGGGCCACGGTGGCTTCCCTAGCTTTGCTGGTGCTAAGCTTGGAGATCCCAGGGTCAGACATCTTTGGCTGGGACAAGGCTAGATTCTTTCTGCAGGCTCTGGAATCTGCCACTCTGTCCTTCTCGGAAGGCAGGTAACTAATTTCAACCATTACCAGCCATCAGGAGCATATGGAAAGTTCCCTGTACTGCACTCCACTGGCTTCCTGATATGGCAACAGCTAGGACTGGGCTCCAGAGCTGTCATGCAAAGCTGAGTGAGCAAGCAAACGCCAGGTGGGTGATGGAGGAAGCAAAATGGACAGGAGACAGAGTAATGGAATAATGACTGATGATACTAGCAAAAGTCCTTTACTTCCTGCTGATTTCAGTATGGCCCCAGGGTCTGTGTGCTGGAAGTTTGGACAGTGTAATGATATTGAAAAGCTGTAGCACCTTGAAGAGGTGGGGCCTAGTTGAAGGTGGTTAAGTCATTGTTCCTGGAAAAAGGAAAATGAATTTATATAAAGAGTAAGCCTAGCACCTGGGTCTCTCTTGCTTCCTGTCCTGCTGTTGTGACATCATCTTCCATGAGGCCCTCACCAGAGCCGAGCAGATGCCAGTACTATATATGTGAATCTCAGAAACTGTGAGCTAAATAAACCTCTTTTTAAAATAAAATGCTCAGCCTCAGGCATTTTGTTATAGCAATAGAAAACAGACTGATGCACTGCCCTTGACTTTGACTAAGTTCCTACTATGTGACAAGCACCATTCTAAAATGATATCTCCTTTTATTCTCATCCATGGGCTGGTAGTATCCCATCTTCTTTCTTATTTTTATATCAAGAAAACTGAGGCTGAGGGAAATTACATAACTGCCCTATATCAGAAACCTATTAAGTGAAGAAGTTCTGTTTCAAACTGAAATCTGTGTGACTTCAAAACCCATGCTCCTAAGACCCCAGTTCACTACTCAGGCCACGAACTCAACTGCTTTTCCGGTGCTTGGCCACTGGAAGATGCTCTTGCAACAGCAACATCTCAACCAATACCATATCCTCTTCCCTCCTTGTCTCTCCTCTCCCTCACTTCCCACAGCCAGGTGGGCCAGGGGCAGGGAGGAGAGACGGGAACTGGGATTCCTCCAGTGCTGAGTTTTAATGCATGTTCTTTTGTAAACAAGAACAATCATTTGTGAATAGGACCAGATGCAAACAGTCCCCAAATCAGGAATTCCAGCTCAGAGGCACAGAATAATACAGCTTTGGGGAAGATTTAATAATAGTAAAATTAAAATTGTAACTGAAGCATAATGAAGAATGTGGTACAAACAGGCACGGCAAAGAAAGAAAAAAACCTACACAGATTAGCCCCTATGGAATAGTGATTGGTTGAGAGCAACAGTAAACAATGCACAGAAATGCAACTTAATTATCTCGCAATTCTTAACATTCTACCAAAGCCACACGGAAAGCTTTGATGTTAGCAGCCGGAGCAGCAACAGCAGCAGCAACATGTCTCTCCCTTGCTCCTGGAGGAAGATCGTTACTAGGAAATCTGCAACCACGACAGCAACTGAGCCAGAGAAAAGCAGCAGGACTGATTAGCTGAGAAATCAGAAAGTGGCCCACTCCCTGGGAATAAAGCACCTCTGGGGGCTACCAAGTTAGAGGGCTGGTGGACAAAAAGGGAGCTCTGAGGACCTGGGGTCCAAGGATGAGAATGTGGCCGGGGGAGGCTCAGCTGACCACCAGTCCCCAAAGCTAGGGAGACAGGCCTCCCAGGAGAGCATGGCCCATCCACCCCAGCACCGGAGTAGCCAGCAGCAGGGTCCTTCCTGGATGGAATCCGAGTACTACTCTTACCCAAAACACACACAGTGGGTGCCACCTGGCTGGGACTGCCGCTGCTTACTCCTTTTGTGCTTGGTGCAGTGGACAGGAGACCCGGAGGAAGGTGCACCCGTGATTCTGAGTCCTAGGTCTCTGTTAAGGATGCTTCTGACAGACTTCTGGAGAGTCAGATTCAGTAGATGCCACATCCGGAAGCCCAGCCCCTGCAGCCCAGCCACACGTGGATTATTTCCTTCCTCTCTGGGGCCCCCCAGAGTTCATATTCCCAGGACTAAGAGGATTTTCATGGTTGGCTGAGTGGTTCCGTGCAAGCCTGCCTGGAGTCAGGGGGATGAAAAAGATGACCTCCTAGGTCCCAGGCACACCCATAAATTTGAGAACCAAGAATTGTAGACCATGTGGCCTACATCCAAGTTTCTTCAGATCTTCACCTTCGTATCTCTGCTCAGTCCACTTCTTAGGTGGGCCTTTGGCTATTTATGTGGACCTTGAAATACAATCAATGCCAGTCCTGGGGCTATGCACTCAGGGGCCCACCTGTCGATGGGGGTGGGCAGAGTCACACAGGTTCAAAGGACATCTTTGATTTCTGGAAGAACCAACCAGTTGCACATGTGTGCAGACTGCTGGGGTGTCGATGGATGCAGACACCAGCACCATCCCCTGCGAGGGGAGCAGGGCTTTCCCTGCACAGGGACAGGGATGCTGCTGCCTCTGCCCTGGAATGAAATGCGTTCCCATTCACTCAAGGGCTGGAAGCTTCAACCCAGCCAGTGGGCTGGAGCTCCGGCCCTCCATCTCTCTGGGCAGGTTAGGTTTCCCCTTTCACAGATGGGCAAACTCAGCTCCAGGAGCATCAGGGGAAGAGTCCTAATCTCTGTGTATTTTCTTTACTCCTGATTCCAGATTTTAATGGAGGGAGATCACCGAGTCCTCTGAGGGTTACTGGTGGAAACTGAGAGGGAGCTGAGATGGATTACTTCCAGCTGTGGGCAGGGGCCAGGTAGAGCAGGAACAATCTAAGTATTGATAACATTTGCTTGGGATACTGAGATTTAGAGACCCTGGACCGTTAGTGCTAACGAGAAGGGCACCCAAATCCTGCCTCATTTGGCAGGGCAGTTTCCAAAAGTCAATATTACCTCCAACCTTTCTACGTGCCATACCCAATCACCCTCTCACCCTCCAGCTCTCATCTCCTTATATCTAGAAACATTTGGTATATTTTTATTATTGATTATCCAACACACACATATTCACCCCCACCCTTGTCACTACAATATAAGGTCCCTGAGGGTTGGGGCCACTTTCTGCAACCCATCCCCAGAACTAATGTATGGCAAACTTTCCTTAAGCATTGGCTGAATGAAAGAATAAAATGCCCAGGCTGCTCCCATAGACCCACGGCCAGTGCCTGAGGACCACTGCAAGTCCTGTCCTCCCACGGTCAACCTCATCCTGGAGGTGGTCTGGGCTGTGTCAGGCTCCTAACTTCAAGTTATGAGCAAGGTTGGGATTTGGAGCCAGAGAAAGTTCACGGGAGACCAAGAAGACACTCCTGGAGCCTGGAAGGTAACGGCAGTGTGCCTGCCTAAAGCCCTCAGTAGGGGGCCCCAGGCGTGGCTCTGAGCACTGAGCATGTGTTAGCTTGTTCCATCTTCACAGTGCACACTAACTGACTAATCGGTCACTCTCCTTCCTGGCTGGCCTTATTTCCTCTTCTACAACATGGAGACAAATGGATACTAAACTGGTGTAACTGCTGTACTCCAAACTCTGAAAGGTTAGGCCTACATATTGCTCATCATTACATCCTCAGTGCTTAGTTGTGCACATGGTAGGTCTTTAATAAATGCTAATGAAATGAACAAAGTGATATTGTGCTTGTTTTTGCAGTACTGGGGATGAAAGCCAGAGCTTTACCATGGTGTAGACGAGGGCTCCACCACCGAGCTCCACTGCCAGCCAAGAACAACACCGTGTGTGACTTCAGTCCAAGAGTCTAAGACTTCTTATGTGAAAATGCAGAAGGCAGGCCCAGTTCCCACTTCCCTGGAGCACAGGAGATCCTATCTGCTGTATCCAAGAACCCCATGGACTTCAGATGGAGCATTCAGTTGACTCTGTGCTAAGTGCTATGGCAAGTGGGCTCAGCTCCGGAGCAGGAGGAAGGGAGCACTGACAAGAACAGGTTTTGATCAGAATAAACAGCTCTTTCTTTCCTTGTGACCCCACCTGGATCAGAAACAGCACCCCAAAGTCATCACGGTCCCCTGCACCGTGCAGGATACAGATATCCCAGACAAGCCTATGAGTTAAGCGGGGCAGAATGGACATTTTTCTTCACTTTACAGGTGTGACAGCGGGAGCTCAGAGAGGGGAGGCTCCTTGTCCAAAGCCACACAGCTATTTAATGACCAGGCCACCACACTCAGACCCTTGGCCCTCAGAAATAGAACAATACAGCTGTTTGCCCCTTGATATCCCTGGGATTTTGGTGCCAGGATTCTTCAAAGGTACTAAAACTTGTAGATGCTCAAGACCCTTACAGAAATACAATGACCTAGTAGTTGTGTAGACCCTGTACCAGTGCTCCCACGTATTTTTAATCATCCATAGATTGTTGGGGATACTTACTACAATGTAAATAGTTGTTAGACTAGAGTGTTTAGGAA